TATATATATATATATATATATATATATATATATATATATATATATATATATATATATATAAAATACCTCATGAACACAAGAGGCCTCACGCACAAAAAATTCGTTTAAAAACAATCTCTATTTAAGATACGCTATTCTACTCTCTACTATTACAATACTTCAGTTATGATACAGTGAAAAAAATGAGGCTAGAAACAGGTGGACAGAAATAGAGAGAGCCAAAGGGCGGAGAAATTAAAAATAAAGCGTTTGTTGTGGAGGTTGGTGTCGGTCATGGTACATACCAGGATCGCCGAGGGGCAGGAGGGGGTGGGCAGAGATGCTGGAGCTGCCCATAAGGGAGCTGCTTGGAGTGGCCCCACGATAGCCTCCCCCCTCCGAGCCCTGCAATGCCCTACCACCGCTAGTCTGCCGGAACGAATTGGACCTGCGAGCAAGAGAGAGTCAAGTTCAGCATCAGACTTAGGCTATCAAATGCCAAGCCTGTTCGGAACCAACTTATCCCTTCTTTATCTTTTTCCTTTTTTTTCTTCTATCCTTTTTCTTAACAATCGATAACAGTAACAAAGAAAAGTAATACCTTCTCGACTAACCGATATGATGCGAGGAATTGTACGGAAGATATCGATCATCCCACGTATTAAAGTACGATGCAACAAACAAAAATAGATCACACTTCTGATACGATACACGGTCAACACTGCAATTTCAAGTAGCTGATTTTGACTACAATCTAATTCTCGTTGTGGATGTTGAAAAAAGTGTTCACTCAAAGATCGATCAATTATTGTTATATAATGTATATTACGTTTAATTTTGTATTACATTCTATATATCTTGATCTGTAAAAATATAAAGAAATGAAGATCATTCTTTTCAATGTTCAAATCTATTAGCTGCTAACTAACTATAGCTAGCGAATCATGAAATACATTGGATATCGTAAGTATAAAGGAAAACTGTGTACTACTATTAAACAAATTTTGGAACAGCGACAAAGACAGCCATCATTTGTAATGAGATACAAAGTTGTGACGTGTGGAAAAGGCTGTCTCTTAGTCTCACAGACATTGTAAATGGAATATATCTTAAAAACATTAATACAAAAATTTTTATATTAAAATATTTGCGCGTTAGCAAATAGCCATACGTGCATTATGTGATAATAATATAAGAAATATATTTGGCGTGTCCAAAAGCATAAATAAATATAAATAAGAGTGCATTTTTTAAATAAATGTATATCTAATGTCACTCTTACTAATGCAATGCAACTTTTACGATGATATATTGATATTCATAAATGCTCAAGATTTGTATTAAATCTGTTTTTTGTACATTTTATACAATTGTGATTTTGGAGATTAAAATCTAAATGAGGTATAGATACAGTCAATACTGTGCATAATCGATGTACACAGACGTTTCCAACAAAATATATCCGTAATATCGAAAAAATAACTACTTCAGCTTATAAAAAAAAAACAAGAATATTTAATAACATCACACACGCATTATATGAATGTTTTGTCCGATGACATGTTTCTCGGCCATATTTATACAGGTGTTTCTCAACCGTGCATCGCACAGCGAATGAAAATCTGCCAGCAGTATGTACAACGATTTCTTTTTCTTTCTCATGTATATTATAATAATAGACTATCTTCTATTTTAGAACTGTCTACTGCTATGGACAAATATCTTGTTGGATAGAACTGTTAGGGCAGTGAAGTATGGTACTTTGTTGTGTATTTAGATACAACAATAAATAATTAGTGATCACGCTATTGAGAGAGGGTACACTGATCATTCGGGTTTATCGTGCCTGATGGTGAGCCTGACTCCCCGCCACCCCTGTCCGAGCAGGCAACACTGACAAACGGAAATATAAAAACGGACATGGTGAACAATATCCGCTACGGAAATTGGAAGTTTGGATGATATATAAATACCGACTTGTATCCCGGCAAAAGCAAGACCGTGCCACCTCCTATCTTACCCACAAGATTAGTGCGTTCATTAATAAAAAACCTCAATAGTACAAACCAACATTAAGGAAACAGTACGGAATGGTTTGCATGCACTACCTACATATTACATGGGTATCCAAGAACTTTCTTAATTATTCAACGTTGCCTATGTCAATCTCCTAAATAAACTTACCTTTGAAACGTTTGCCTCTTCACATAATTGTCCCGAACAAATTCGACGATTTGTTTCTGAGTCTTGCCGCTATACCTGGTAATACGTAAAAATACACAACATAACAGAGAAATATTTCTTTTTGTGCTGCGTGATCGGTTATGATAGATCTAAATTACCATATATTTTTTTCTATTAAACTTACTATTGTATTCTTAAAAAATTAGAAAATTTAATTAATCAGATAATTTCAAAAAGATAACAACTAAACGAGAGTGTTAATTTTTTATGTAAATGGAAATAATATATTTTTTAAGATAATTTGACATACCTGAACGACGATCCACGGCTAAGCACTCTAGTCTTCTGCCTTACGACTCTTTTAACTACAGAGCAACGAAAGAAACCATGGTTTTCTACACATTTTTTCCAAAAGTTTTTACACTCATTACGTCCCTCAAAGAAAAATTCGACCGTGTCCTTATAATAACCCTACGAATAGTAAAAAAATATAAAATAAATACGTTATTATTAGAAAATTTGCTTTATATATAGAATATCCTATATAATTATAATGACGCATTAATATAAAAAATCAGATATATTATGGATACTTACATAACCCTCAGGATGCAATTTGATTAAAAAACGTTTCCGTTTGAAACTGATTTTTCTGATTTTGGCCCAACTGAATGTATTTATTTTATTATAATTTTGAAATACCACGATCCCCATATGCGCCACTGCTAGATTTAGCGGAACGTTCTCATGGTCCTAATGTAAAAAAAAAAAGATAAAGTATACTTTATATATGCAATATAAATAATACACAGAAATATAAGTGTTTTAACATCGCTCACCTTAGCTGGATGCATTTTCATTCCATACAGTTCGCAACGTCGAGCTGTCTCTAAAAGATTGAGGTCTGCCTCTGCAGGAGATTGACCTCTATTGAAATTAGAAAAATAAAAGTAATATTAGCATTAATACATTTACTACTTTGATTAAATTTAATAAAATATTTGATAATATATGTCTCTTACGCGTGTTTCTTATGATTCTCCATAATACGTCGTTCCAATTCTTGATCTTGATGAGGCACAAATTTATATGTTGATAAATACGTATGGTCTGGATAGTCTTCTATCACATAGTCCCCGCATTCAGCTAACGAACAGAAAGTAGCGGTCACACGCGAACAAATAATTTAGAATTTTAGGAAAATATAGAACACACACACACACACACACACACACACACACACACACACACACACACACACACACACACACACACACACACACACACATATATATATATATATATATATATATATATATATGCTAATTACCTTGGACGATATAACTGGCCATCAATGCTGCTGTGTTATCATTGCATTGCAGTAAACCTTGAGCTAAATCCCGTTTAATTTGTAGACAGAATAAATATCTTGTAAACTCTTCCTCGAGTTGTGCAGGATCTGGCGTATAAAATTTAACACAGAACCTCAATAGAGGATCGATTAAAGACAAACCGACTTGTCTGCACACTGGTTTCTCCAAATCCAACCAATACTGTAAATATCACGAGTTTTAATCGCACCGTTCGTCGAAACATATATAGAGTTCTTACATAAAAAATAATCTTACTCTTGTTAAGTTCGGTTCTTGATACTCAAGACCAAAATAATCCGCTTCTAAAAGATGCAATTGCTTACAAACTTGATCAAACAACACTCTACCTAGCGCCTTGGCCTGAAATATTTAAATAGAGAGAATTTTATAAAGTAATACAATTCGTGTAAATTTGGATAGTGTCGAGCCGTCAAATGAAAATATATCTTTATAAACAATCTAAAATTCTTAAATATATCTTTATAAACAATTTAATAATTTTAATATATGAGGGAATATCTTTGACACAATAGTATGGAAGGATATTCTTACGATATTATTACGATATCGCGCAGAACTTATCAATTAGAGTCACACAATAGTATACTAAAAGTATATACACGATAAACTAGTTTTTTTTAGTGTAAAGCTAAGATGCTAGAACAAAATTATTTACTGAAGAAATAAGCAACACGTTGCACAAGCATTGTAAATAAATAATCAATAAATGAGTATATATATTTTTCACATACAGGGATCCCCATTTGATACGTTATATGCTCCAATAGCTCATTCTTCTGGAAGTATATGCACACACTATGCAGCATATATGGTAAGCATTTTTCCACGCAATATATAAATACATAATATTATGTCGATAAATTTTTTAATCTAAACAGTATAAAATATTCCAATTATACCAGGTCTCATTTATAGATCTTCCGACGGCTTTCAAAGAGACTTATTCAATTTTACATTAATTCTGCAGAATGCAAGTGATGTTTCATGGAAATATTATGTCAACAAAATTACTAGTAAAATTTTTCATGGAGCGTTTCGTAATGACTTGAAGGAGAAAATCTTGTGCATCAAAATTCTAAGTTAAACGGCTTCGTGAAAAAGATTCTAAGGGCTTTGTAATCAATGACTCTTGACCTGGATACATCAAGTAAATAGTTTAATATGCCTACACAGCATGTACAGGGTAGTGAAACTAACACAAGTACAGACTTCTTGATTACATGAAAGATGAAAATGATTATGAATAAAAAATTCAGGTCATATAAAAGTAACATTTAATTGCAAACATGCTGAACAATGCACGTACATACTTCACTGATTAGATAATAGATACTAAATTAAGTATCGTCAAGTACGGGAATTTAGATTACATTATTCATAATAGCATTTAAACGCGCACAGATATGTAACATGTATCCTCATGATAGTCAATGCAATGATAGAGGAACGTGTTCTATTGCTATATAGTGCACAATTATAAAGGCACAATAAGATATTCAGGCGTCATTCAATACCATTTTAGCACGTTTATTCTCATAATCTCTACAGAGCGTAAATAGTTGCCCTCGCAAATAATAAAAAGATTAAAAATTTATCGCACACGTGCACGTCGTTGTTGAGAACAAACTGTTGAAAATATATATACAAGGAGACGGTTAATTAAAAAAAACGTTCTTTACCTGCACTTGAAACATTGTAATACTGTCATCCAACATCTGTACACGTACTGCGAGCATTTTTCCAGCTTTCCGCGGTGTTGCTGGAGGTGTTCTACTACCTCCGTCCACACCAGCTGGTGTAGAATGACTATGAGGCATCTTTGTACCCTTCATGCCAAAACCTTCTATATCATTCATTTTCGAGCATCTATTGTTTTATGAAGAAACTGTTAATGCGTGTTCTCTCAAAAAGAGTTCAATCGATAAATCCGTATTATGTCATCATCTGCAATAAACAGACATTATCAAATTGCGTATCACACGGCAATGATATTAAGCTTTATTGAAAAAAGTATATAAACACTCTCGTATTGTTCGAAATAGAATATTTGCAAAATGATATCTCACTGAAATATCATATAATATCGGATAATCAAATTCGCAAGAAAATAAGGACGATATTTCTGAAGAAATTGTATGAAGTGCACAAAAGCAAAACTCACATTCTCCAGTTATCTCGACATTGGGAGTGCAACTTCGCCTGAAATTTTGCACGTCACCTCCAGATAAGAGATGCATAGCGCGTGAAACTAGTGCTTGGCACTACTAATTCGAGTTTTAAATAAGCAAAAGAACGCGCGGGACATCTTATCTCTCAAATCTTCCAAAGTGGAGCACGTGAGTTCTGCTTCTGTATTCCTCTCAGACTCGGACTGCACTGACGACAAAACCGCTGTCGCCGTTGTGTATCTCTTTCGAAACAACAATGATTCATTCTTACGAGACTGTCGCCGAATACGCTCGGGACAACGTACTTGGAGCGGAACGCTCCTGGAATGAAACACGCACGGGACAATGTCTATCTCTCGCGAAGTGACATGTTTACATAATGCGCCGTGACGAGCCACGATATAAATCACGCGAGGATTCCCCGTTCCCGTTGCTTCCTCGAGCGCGCGGCTTCCTCCCCGTCGGCTTCCGGCTCGAGTTTAGCGCGTCGCATCTCGTGCCCGCGAAGAATTACGAGGACGCAACGCCGTCGTCGACTGCCTGTGCTTGGTCGCGCGTCGCGTCGTCGTCCGCGATTATAATCCCGATCGTCCGAGCGAGAACGAGCACGGGGAAGAAGACCAAGGCTGCGCTAAACGAAGCGATTGGCCAGTCGATTGGCTTCGAACAAAAGGGTTGAAAAACGCTGTGCCGACTGACGTAAGGTCGGAAGAGTAGGGGCGGGAAGAGATAATAGTGCGTTAATGCGTGCACGCGCTCGTTCTCCGCCTGCACGCGTCATACGCCTGCATCTCATCCATATGTGCGTGGTCGTCGTGTAATTGCGAGTTCCTCGCGGCCGTACCGAAAATGGAAGGCGACGCTTAGGAGAGGTAGGTAGATAGGTAGGTCGGTCGTCGCGCGAGTCGCTCCGAGGAGGAGGAGGAGGAGGAGGAGGAG